TGAATATCGTAAAAGTGTTGTCGGATCATTTTCGAAAAAAGAGATTTTTCAGCAAATTGTTAATTTTTCGTTGAAGGAATCGATAAGAACAAGTTAAAAAAAAAAAAAATAAATAGATACTTGTCATGTTTGTATATTTGAACGCTTGTATAAATTACAGTGTGTAAGAATTCAATCGTCATGATCGCGCGCGGGTGAAATTAAACGGGCGAGAGAATTGAGACGCGCATTCTTCGCATCGTCGAGCGAGTCACCTTCGGCAGACCCTCAGAAAAGCGGGATTTCCAAGTGGCACGGCGACAAACGATCGACTTATCGAATAGAGTCGAGGGTCACTGCTGCGTGTCCCAGCGTACTCCGCTAAAGAGAAACGGAACCGTGGGCGACGGTTGGCACCTGACTGTGGCTGGAGCGACAGAATAATCGCGAGTAATTCCCTTACTGCTAGACACGAGTACTACACATCCGAAGAACGCACAACAGTCATTTTATGGCAAAACTTATACAGTCTGAGCAAATAAAATTTTTCATAAGATCTTAGACGATTACAATTAGCATTAAAGGGCAAGTGTACGTCCGTGTGTGAATGTTTTCGCGCGTATATGTGTGTATGTGTGTGTGTGTGTGTGTGTGTGTGAGCATATATATGCGTATGTGTGACTCCCGTGTATAACGTGTACAACGAGCTCTTGTTACATTCAAATTTACGTGCTATTTGAACCGGGGCCCGCCCGCTCGGCGCGCGGGAACAGCGGTGTCGATCGGAGGGAAAAGATCACAATTTGCGATCGGACGCGACGGTGTCCCGCCCCGGTTTAAATACTGCTGGAAAGATCGAATATCTCCTGGCGTTACACGGCGTACTACGATAATTTATTACTGGTAGAAGTGATCGTTTTACGGAGACAAGTGTCAGAGACGCGACGTTTCGATCGGGGCCGACGCTCTCCGGTCCACGCCCCGTCTCGCGTCGAGCGATATCCCGCGGGGGAGAGTCCTGTCAAAGGACCGCCACCAGCGCGCGAGTCCGCGAGAGCCTCGCCCCACTTTCGAATTCGGTGCTGCGGAATCGCGATTACAGACGAGGCGAGAGAATCGCGCGCCTCCAGGAGGAAGGGGGATTAATCGATTATTTGAAACAAAAAATATAGATATATTTATATATTTGTAAATATATATATATATGTGTGTATGTATATGTATATATATATATATGCACGTATGTTAGAGGGGGAAATCTCTCTCGATCTTAGAAAATATGCGTCATTAAAGAAAAATACACGAATCTCAATGGTTGGTCCGATAAGACTAGTCGATTACCTCTTTACAGCGCCGGGGAGTTTGAGACCTCGAGCCTTCACACGTTTTGCGATGAGTATAATAAACAAAATCATAAGAATTAAGAGTAATAATAGCAATAATAATCAATGATCGTACTATGTCGTAGATGATTACTGAGTGCGAACGCAATTGAGAAACAATTTTCGTTGTTATAAACCTAGCTATCCGAGTAAGATCGCTACAACAACGCCGTGTTATCCCTCGTCTTCCCTCGCGTCGAATAATAATGTTTATATTTCTCTTTAATCGCTTAATCCTATCTTTATTTAACTGAGGTACGGCCAATCGAGCGCCGATGCCGTTCGTTTTGACGAAACCGCTGAGAAGAGAACGAAAGAAAGAAGAAGAACGACAGAAGATTTTTTTTTATGAACGGACGGGCGGAAACGAACGGCGTCGGCCGCTAAACTCGTCTAACAACCGATACCTCTGGGAGATCATATGAAAGATTCATTAAGATATAATTAATATTACAACTACAAACTAACGCGCGCGCAAACGCGTGTAATATGTAAAGATTAAGGAAAAAAATTAAAAAAAACAGAACAAGGTGGGACGAAAGAAATACAATGAGAGACGCGCAACTGTACGTCACACAGTTGCGAAAGTACATTGGATCGTATCTCCGGGGGATTTTCTCTCGTTCGCAGAGAGGGGAGAAAGGATATATTGTAATATTCATGATTATTTGTTATAATAATCGGATATTTCATTAATTATTACGAGATCACAGTGACGCTTTGACGCGCGGGGATCTCGGGTGGGCGGGCTGCATTCTACTGCTGACTTTTGCTTAATTTTTCTTCCTTAAATTGTACCTCGTGTTTTGTTTTTTTATTGTATGTACCGGATAATTTTTTTTTTTTCCTTTAAAACGCAAGAAAATCCTCGAGAAGACCGCTTTTCTCGTGTTTTCTTACGTGTTATTTGACAGTGCGTACGAATTGTTCTCAGAGTGAACTCTCGAGTGAGCGTATCAACAGCCTGCCCCCCACGATCCACATAGTCACAGTTACAGCTTATTTCCCACCTTCGACCTACGTCCTTCGACCTCCATCAATCACCGAAGAACCGTCGTGTCCGCTATCCTTAACACCGTCTCCCCGCCATACTTTCGCCGGGCTCGCGCCCCTTCGAAATATACGATTCTCTTCATCGCACAACGGGTTATCTCATCTCTCGAAACAATAATATCCCCAAATATACCATTTAAAATATATATATATATATATGCCTTTTTTTAATATATATAATATGTCTTCCATTATATATATATATTTATATATATATTTTATATACGTTTATCCATATATCATTATTATATCTTCAATATGGCTGACTATTATCTAAGTGCTTCTATAGAGCAATTAATCTAAAAAATGAACAAAAAAAGGAAAAAAAAAAAAAAAGAAGTATACCGGGAGAAAACCGTTACTGCGTTTTTACGGCCTCGTAGAAAAGCGGCTATGTACATGCGCATGTGTTTTCTCACTTTCAATTTTCCCTCCGACACGTAAAAATCCGCCACCGGGCCGAACACAGGGCGGAGACCCGCGAATTCGCCCTGCCATTCCCTATCTACGGAGTAAAAGGATTAAACGGCCGCGATCTATCGTTTTAGGCCGTCTCGCGCTTCGTTTCACCGCGCTGCAGGAAAACGGGAATCTTCCCTTTGGTCGGAATGCAACAACCCTCCCCCTCGCGAGAAGGGAGATGCCCTCCCCGCGACACAACGACAAAAACACTATCTATATCGTATCATTATGTGTATACACGATAATCTTGTACGTTTTGCGTGCTCTCTCCGCGAAAGGAGCAAGCTGCACAGAGGAAATTCAATCGAAGATTGGAGATTCTACCGGCGAGAATGGGAAGCGAATCACCGTCGGATCCAGACAGATTTTTCAACTGATAGTTGACGCGAGCTCGATCATCGGCGCGAATATTATTCAAATTTTGACAATTTTGACACACCAATCTAAAAGTCAAAACTTTGTAAAAGCCAAAGTTCCGAGAATATACATGATGATAAAACTTGTAAAACTCTGAATATGCAAACTTTGAAATGTGTAAATGTTTTGCAATTTTGATAATTATTAAACATCTTTGAAAAAATCTATGGTTATTTTTTCCCATATTTATTTAATGTAAATTATTAATTATTAAATTGATTGTACAATAATTAAGCGTTGAATCAATAAATGTAAAAAATGCAAGTAACCGTTATTTACGAAAATTATTAGATTTATGGATTATTAAATTCATAGATAAACTCGTTAAAAGACTGTTTTATAATCTAATTCCACTAAATGATTGTGGATCCAACGAGTGACCCGCGTTCCGCGGAAATGGATCTGAGTTCTTGACGATGAGAAGTGGTTCGCGAAAAAATCACGACAGAACGAAGCGCTACACGATGAAAACACGAAGACTAAACCGCGCGTGAGATTAGAACAATGCGTTAAATCGCTTCCTTCCTTTCGCCGTCCACAACGCTCTCCTTGCAGCGCGTTCCGAATTCTCTATTCACTTAAATACCTCTGTCTCAATGACACTAACTACTTTCGTCTTTAGAGATTACGGACATCGACATTATTGACTCTTCACAAAGCCGCTCCCGCGGAAGCGTCTGGCGAGGATTTGCTTATCTCAATAATGGCAGTAATATATCTCGCCCGCGCATTCATCTCGCGGCCCTACTAGACGGTAGAAAAGACTGTATCGCCTATAAATAAATACTATGGACCTACACACTGGAATACTTCGACGGAGTAACGTCACGATTCGTCCTATCAGTAGGGAGACAAAGGAAAACGCAATAGAAAACGCTACTCGGGGAGATGAGAAAAGCACGGCCCGCAGGGACGACTGTACAGCAGCCTCGATAGTTTTCAGTCTCGATAGTCTAAAACCGAACGAAGAGAGCCCAGAAGGATACACGTTTCCTCACCCTCGCTCTCGCTACCCCTTCCTCGCCGTTCCTATCCGGAACCCCAAGAAAAATCTCGCGAAACGAGTGGGCTCAGTCCGCTCGGCCGTGAAAATTGAGACTCTCTGGATTGTCGAGTGAACACAATACGCGATTCTACCAATGCATCCTAAGTTCGAGATCAGAGATTACGCTACGTTACGTTACGTGGCGTCGCGCGCGACGAAGCACCGTCGTCGATAAACGCGGAACTACGAAGCGGGGAAGGGAACGGGCGGGGGGGGGGGATCGCGACAGAAGATAGAGAGATGAGTGAGTTAGAGCGAGAGGATCGATAGACAGTCTCTACCGACGGAAGAGAGGAAGAAAGAGTGAAAATAAAAGAGATAGAAGTAGGAAAGAGAAGGATAGACAAGTTAGAAAAGACACAAGGGAAAGAGGGAGGTGCTCCTTCCGATGCGCCGCAAAAGGCGTCCCGCATGGACGAGGGCGCCTACTAATAGCTAAGCTACCGGAGATCATTTGAAAACTGTCCACGGGAGTCGCAGCTAGCCAATCAAGATGCTGCGATCCTCGGCCTATCGATTATCTACTTTAATTATTAACATCGACTTATTACTGTGAGTTTTTATTACTTTAGATAAAAATCCTCTATACATACACGCAATGTTCGCTCCCCTGTCTCCACCTTACGTGTCTTCGCCCGTCCCTTATTCTCTTAACGTTTCTTTTTTTTCTTTTTTGGTAATACGTCGTCATCCCTCTCTACATCTCTCTCTCTCTATATATATATACATACATTCCGCCCACGCCGTGAACGTCTAGCGAGATCGATTAAAGCGATAACAAGGTTGAAAATACTATGATGAATGAAGAAGAGAGTGAAAAATGGGTTTGTCGATTGATATTGTCAGAAGCATTCTGGTCGTCTCTCGACGAACCGAAACCTCTCGCGAGACGTCATTGCGCGGCGTCGTTAAAAAATTCTTGGACAGAGAATTGTCCCGCCGATCGGCAAGCCGCGTTATCTACAAGCCGCATACCGAAGAGTAGTTCTCTCTACCTTGGCGAGACCAAGAGAGGGACGGACGCGCGAAGAGCAGACGGAGAATAAGGGGCGTGTGGTCCGCCCTCTCTCGTTCCCGTAATCACACTACTTTATTTAATTCTCTTTATTTATCCGTAATGAGATCATCATTTGATTATTGGGTTTAATCCTCTTTGGATCTCGTCCTTAGCTCTCCCTCCCCTCCCCCGTCACCCTTCTATACATATACCTTCCTCCTCATGTCTCGGGTCCGATCGCCGCGTTATACGCAATTCGGTTACTCTCGCCCGGGTTATCTCCCCTAAAACTCTCTACAGTCCTCCCCCGTCCTCCGCCCTTCGCCTGCGAGTTCGCAAGGCGAACCCGTCGGCACGAAACAGAGCTACGTTCGGGAATAACTCCTGCATCGCGCGAGAATGCGCTTGTACTTGGACGCCGTCGTTTTCCGCCACCCCTCGCTCCGTCACTCGCGGCAATCACAGTCACAATTTATCGACAGTACGCGACTCTCGAACAGCAGTGAAACAAGTAGACGGGGTGGTCGAGTCTGTCGAGCGCCGACGTCGATTCAATTAATAAACAATGATCCAAAAGTCGGAACCCCGCGATAAGGTTCGCAGTCAAAGATTCTTTAGATTTTGCTCGTTAAATAGAGAGCAACTAATTTATCAAAATAATGAATTATCATTATCTCCATTATCAATTATCACAATTATCAATTATTATAATTATCAAACTAATAATTAGAATCAGTTATCGTACTAATCAATCATTTAATTATCAAAATCAATCACTTACAATAATTATCAATCATAAGAAAATTAAAAGCACATCGCGCAAACTTTTATCATTTTCATCTTCATGAGCAGTATCATAGAAGAAGTGAAAAGCAACACGGCGCGATCGTCGTGCTTTCGTCGTCAAATATACATCAAATATCTTATAAGCAGTCGAATGGTCCCTCGGGAACCGATCGAAGTCGACCAAGCACATTCTCGCGTAACTGCGCAGCAGGCGCGACGCGCGCGAGTACAAAACAGATATACAAAATACAATTATATTATCGGAGTGGATGTTCAGACGCAAGAGACGGTTCGTCCTTGCGGCGCACTCTACCTCGATCAAATCCATCGTCCGATCACAAAGTGAGACCCGGACTGCACTTGGGACGATCCGTCCGTGTCGAGGATTCCAAGACTCCCGGGCTTGTGGATCACCCGAAAGGAAGTCGTCGACGGTCCGTCGGTTCAATCAACCTCGTTGCCGTCGTTCCAGGCGCTGCAGCGATCGCCGATCGGGTACGCAACGTCGGGACGACGGTTGGGCACAGCAGGCGCGTTTATCGCAAGCGGGAGACGAGTCTCCAGCCGAGATAAAGAGCCACCGTTGCCCAGAGGGTCTCGCGTAGCGGCGTCGGGATCAACAGCGACAGCAGGCTGTCGGTGGACGACGAGTTGCTGTTGTGACCGTTGGACAAGCCAGGGCCGATCACAGCTAGCCTCGACTTTTCGCCCTCGGCGTCCTGCAACAACAAGCAGAAACATCGATCGTTCAGTCATCTTGCTCGATTCTCATTGCGGAATGTTTCCAAATTCTAAACACAAAAGCACGGTCTACTGTGCTTCAAAATAACGCTTAAAGTTTGTATAACACGCGTCGATACATAATTAAACAAGAACGTAATTGAATTGCATAGATCAGGTAGAATAGATTCGTAATGTGAGCAGTTAGGTTGTAATGTCGCGAAAACGACCCGGGAGGTAACCAACGGTGAGCGAAGTAACAAAGTTTCTCCGATACTTTCGCGAAGATTTGGCGAAGGCGACCTGTCGTAAGTCTCTTCTCTTGTAGTGGATCCGGGGAGAAAATCGTGCGGGAAGAAACGCCGGCCGACGCGCGGAGTTAAGGTTCCTAATTGGGAGTGTACTAATTGGACGGAATTACCGACGATCCGGCACTCTCTTGCGGCTAAGCCTTCGGCGGGGGGGAAAAAGTGGAAGGAAAAGCGACGCGGTCGTTTTATCGAGTCCCCCTCATCCCTGCGAATTTACACGGAAGAAACGACTGCCGCGTGGAGGGGAAAAAAAAATCGCACTGCTCAAAGTCCACAATGTCTACGCCCGGGCTTTCTGTTTCCTTTACGGCGCGACGCAAACCACTCGCGGCTTGAGAAAAAAAAAAGGTTCAATTAAAGCTTGCTTATTAACGACACTAATTACCCAATTAACTTCCATTCCGCTGCGCCGCTGCGCTGATGCTCGCGCCGGCGGCGGAGATTTTGCGCTGAGATCGTACAAATCGCTCATGCGTAAGAAGAAATCCCGTCAAGACATACACACGAGCAATACTTACTGCCCAATTAACGCGCGCTACCTTCCGATGAGACCGGTATAACGATTCCGCGTATCGGATCGCGAAGATGCTGCGTTAAGAGAGACACGCGACTTTGTTGCAAAAATGTATGACGTAAATAAGAATTTTGTTTTTTTGTGCACAATTAAACATTATATTTGGAAATAAGTTAGACAGTTTAAAGAAAACCAATGTAAATATGTACATTTCTGTAATTGTGCATAAACGATCTTGTCCTGCAGATATAAGAATAAAAAATCCATTACATCGCCGTAGCCAAAGTCCGAGAAAATTATCGCAGATCTCGACGATACGCTCCCGTAATATCTCGCGTGAAAGAACGATCTTCTGCCGCAGGACGATTAACTCCGGAGGGTTCCCTTTGTTTCTCCATTCCGCCCGTCTCTTGCCGACGTTATCTCGACCCCGACCCCGTCGCGACTTCCGATTCCCTTCTCGTCTTAATCCACTCGCCGTGGCCGGACGTGCAATAATAAACGCCCGGGAAAAGCCCAATCGCCGAGGCGGCGGGCTTTTATGGGACGACCATAATATCTGGACAGCGTCGCTGACGACCCCACAAAACGAGAGGGAGAGAGAGAGATAGAGTCCACGCAAGCTCGCAATCACGCGCGGGAAAAACATTCGATTCGTCGTCGGCGCGTATAGGCGCGAGAGGAAAGATTATCTCGGATGTGTGGATGGGGCGGAACGTAAGGAGAGTAGACGAGAATGTCACATTAAGGGTGAATTATGTGGGAGGGCGCGAGAGTGCCGTTGCTCGTGGGAGTTCTGCTCGTCAATTAATAGTGTCCCTTCCTCGCCGCAGAATCACGCGTCCGTGTCGTAGGGCGAGTCGTCATGGAGGGCGAAGAGCAAAGGGCGGCATCCACGCTCGTTAATGTTTAACGCATGCGAGTAGCCGCGATCGGCCACCTGCGACTGTAACCGAGACCGTGGAATGGACTTTCTCTCTCTACGCCGACGTGCCGTTAGCTTCGACGCGTGTGAAAAAGCCGCGGATATGTACGTGATGCCGTTTTATTGCTTCGCGAACCGGAAAAAAAACACGCCTACTTGAAGAATACAGCTCGCTCGGATAAATCCTCATTACGTGAGCGGAAAAACTTTGCATCAAATTGAGAAGTTGTTCCGTTCTTTTTTTTTTAAAGAAATAAATATTCTCTATCTGCAAAGCGTCCTGTGTGTGTGTGAGAAATTTTTGAGCGATAAATTGGCACAGCGCCATTCAACAATTGTCGGGAATGTACAAAATAAGAAAGGTGTTTGATGCTTGTTCGCGCGCGCGTACAAAGGAAAGCGCAGTGCGTCATAGCACGTGAATCAATCTAGGTTTAAAAAGGAAACAAACAAGGGCAACCCTCCATGACATTACAATCGTGAATGCGCATTAATACGAATTAGAAAGCGAACCGTGGAGAAGACGCAACGCTTTATGACGGATGAATCGTAAAATGCAAATTTCCACATGATTGCCCATATTGCCGACCGCAGCAAATTTTTCAATGCGCATTGCGAATGGAAAATCAATATATCGCATTTCCGTGCTTGTGCTCACGAGCTGTTTGCATTATTTTCTGCACTGACAAACCAGGAAAAACAAAGATAGCAGATGATTAGCGAACGAAATGAGAACTCACGCACGCCTACCTCTTGTTTATACGGATCGTCGGAATAAAATCAATTTGCGAACGATGCTGAGATATAATCGTCGCTACTATCGAATGAAGCGGAGGCAGAAAATCCCGCTGCACGCTCGCGGCGATTTATCGCGAATTGTCGATCGTTCGGGAAAAAATATGGCAATTACGCGCGCGCGCGCGACTTTCGCGCGAGGAAGAGAGCGAGACAACGCGATGCGGGCGATTAAATGAACGCTCGTCTCTCCGTCTCCGTTGCGCTTTATGACCGCGTGCGCGCCGCGCGCGACTACTGGCAAGATAGATTATTGTGCAACGTAATTGCGCGGTTTGCCGTGGAAACGGCCAATCGCCCAGCACGGAGGTTTTGCCGCGGAGACTTAAGTAAGAAAAAGCCGATGGAAAACAGAAGTTGCGGTCGCGGCGCTCGTTCGCCGCGCGCAATGCGCACTCCGCCAGCTACCGATAAAACGAGCTGCGCCTGCCAATAATCGGCGGCAGCAAAAATGCGAGAGGCAGCAATAAAGGCGAGAACAAGATGGGTCGGATATACATTAAAGATGCGCGAGATGTAATCGTGCGATCGATCTTGTTTCTTAGGAAATTAGTCGGCCTCAAAATCCAGATAAATAAACTTTTCACCGCTATTGTTAATATTATTGCACTTATAATCAGTCCTGATTACTCGTCAATTATCGCTAATTATTATGATTACGCTTCTGAGTATGATTATGTTAACTAGCTGCGTTCCGATGCTTGTTATCGCGGCGTAGAAATTACGAACGCGACTTTCACTATTTTCACGCGGCGATCGCTTATCAGACGGATTATTATTATTACGCGTCTCGTTAGAAATGTATGACGTATTATATAAATTATCGAATAAGCGGTGGCCAACGGGCGAAATCTCTCGCGCGGCACGCCAATAAATTTCTCGTTTTCCAATAAAGCGAGAAACGGCGAGCGAGAGTTTCCTCGAGCGGCCGACAAAGCGTTATAAATTCGCGCAGGTTGCACGCAGGTTGCGCGCAGTGGCGCGACCGCGTTCCGCGGGAGGATAGCGGGAGTGCGTCGCGGGGTATCCAGCGAAGGTGAAAATAAGATGTAAACGAGAGTCAAGCGGTTTGCGTGCGGTGAACGTGCTGAAGAAATCTCGCGACTTTCTTGCGTTTCAAGCCTTCCTAGCGGCGGCGGTTCGACGTCGGCCCGTTCCCGGCTTGCGCCATCAGAAAGAGATCCGTTATCTCGTCGTGAGAAAAGTATACTAATATTTCGATTTGCGCGTCGGTCAAATCATTCAAACGATCGGACAAATGTTGGACGGACACGCTGCGACGCGCCATTCTGCGAAATGTAGCTTATCGAGCGCGAAAAGAAACCCGATCGGATCGTTTAGCCACCGAAGATTTCATACGCGAAAATTCGATACGACCTATTCGCGAGTAATGAGTTTCGGAGAAGACGTGTACGCGGAAAATTGCCCGGTTTCAATTTCCCGATGCGCGAGAAGAGTCGGTTATTTCGTTGTTTCTGACACGAGCGTAGTATTCTGCGTTCTACGGCGCGCCCGTTCGCTCACCCGTAATCACGCGTTACATAAAAACGTATGTTACCAGGTGCGACCCTCGCCGCAGAGAGGTCAAACGAAAACGCAGCGAAAACACGCTATACGCTATTGGCCGCTCGATTAGTGAGTGTAGAAGTGACGATCGGTCGGCTGATCGGCCAAGCGAGATAGACGAAGCGCGCATGATAGAAGGAGCGAACGCGGGCGGGGGGGGGCTCCGATTGCATGAGATAATTGAAGATAATTTTCTCGGCCTGTGGCCACGGCTCGTGCTGCCATGCCCACTTAACTTTCACGTAAGGGGATGTGGCCGTTTAGCCGCTACATGCTCGCTTACTCTCCATGCATATGTAAAGCACCGCGCCGTCGGTGGTTTCCCGTGGCGGGTGAGCGTGCGGGAGGAGGGAGCAGAGAGGATCGTCTCCGTAACTTACGACGTATTCGCGGAAGCCGCGCCTCGCGAAAAGTTCCCTCAGACGCGTCGGAAGAGCCGCGAATTGCTGGCGAGCTTTGATCCGCCGAGCTCGCGTCTGATGATATATTTACGGATACGGGTGAATCTATAGTAGCGCGAACAACGCGCCGAGAGACGTATGGCGCACCTGTTGTGCAAGAAAATATGGAGATCAACGTGTATATCGCGTTTAAATCCAGTCGGCGAGAAACAGAGTGCTCTGAGTCAATCGATATTTTCGGATGGAACTGAGTGAAAATAGACGAGTCGATAAATTGGTTGGAAATTAACGCGATTCGTTTGAGCGTCGAATAATTTTTCGTTAATAATAAATGTAGACTTTATCGAATGACGATGCGATTAAACTTTGAGATCGATTTTTATAAAGAGATAGGCATAACGCGAGAGATTGTTTTATAGCCGCTGATCTCCGATGTTGCCATCGTGGTATTAATCTGACATTTCAATTTCTCCGGGCGCACAAACAAGAGAGAGAGAGAGAGAGAGAGAGGAAGCGCGACGGTGTCGGGAATCCTCGGCGATTCGTATTATCAACAAGATCCTCGCTCCTCGAGTTACCGAGCCGAGGATGCGATCGGTATTCGATCTCCTACGAGCGGGAGAGATTTCTTCAATTTCACGGGTCTGTTCGCCCCCTTCAATTACCGGCACTTAACCAGCAATAATTAGACGTTCCGGGATTGGGTATCACGCCGGCGGACCTTTAAAGCGGATAAAAGCGAGGCGGAATAAAAGAGAAAACGCCCTCTCCACCTTGTTTGTCCCGCTCCCTTCCCTCCCGCCGACCTCTCCTTCCTTCCTTTTCTATTAGTATCTCACCCTCCCACCATTCACTTTCTTTCAATCCGCAACGGCAAACAAGAGTCGTCGTAAAACTCGAGGAGAATTGTCTCGCTCATCGATACATATTTGATCGAACGACCCTCTCTAGTCTCCTCAATGGCGAAGGAATGGATAACTGTCGCAGCGGTAATCAGAAACTTGCCGCAATTGTGCTCATTTATTTCGCGCATTAAAGAGACGGTGAACCGAAGGGGCATAATCGTGCCATCGCGCAATATGTTTGCCCCGACTGAGTAATAGACGGTGGAAAATTGCAGTCGTAATTGAATAGAGCGTATAAAAAAGTGCGTTTGAAATTCAAATATTCAGGAAATAACGATCGCCGATGACCTTCTCGTTATCTCGGGAGGGAAAAAAAAGACACTTTAATATATCCGCAACGTGTAAAAAGGAACGTTATTTATTTCTTGTCAAGAAGTCTAGAAACAATCTTTTCAGCACCTTTCCAACTACCGGACGCGCGAGAATCAATTTATCAAGATAATATCGCAGACGCGTTTCGCCCATGCCGCGTTAATCTCGAAGACGACGACGTCGCGCGCTACCGCGCTCGAAATATCTCCGATTCATCTCCCTGCCCCCTCATTCGCCACCACGTCCAATCGCCACTTCTATTCTTCCGGGCGCAAACAAGAGAGGAACCATCGTAAAATGCCGGAGAAAGACCGCCGCCAGTCCGGCAATACATATTTGATCGAACGACCACCGTCGCGGTCGGACGGGGGCGGGCTGGAGTTTTGATGAAGTGCCGGTGGCACGGGGCCGCACACACGGGGGGCAATATTAGACGTCTCGACGGTGGCGAGCTGATATTTATTGCACCTCCGGGACATCCCCGGTACTCCGATATAACTAAATTCGCGTTTATGGCCCGCAGTGACGGTGGTTTCTATCTTTCTTAAGGAAGAAACACACCTCTAACCGCGAAGGAGCGCGCCCGCAAGTTTCGCGGCGCACTGAATCATTCGTGGCGCTATTAAATCCGGGATATCGGAAGAAGGATCTGGAGTGTCGGTCCGTTCCCGCGCCGAAATCGATTCTCGCACGCGTCGGGCCGAGTGGATACCAATCGAATGAGAAAGATACGCGAATGTATTGAGATAATGAAATAATCCGACGACTTACGAAATACTAGCTTTATTAAACAAAAGATATTTTCAGACGCGTAATGTCTTGGATTAAAATGAATGTACGTGAAAGTAATTTGCGAATCTCGCGATATAATCAGCAAATTAAGCAACAAGAAAGGTTTTAAAGAAAATTCAAAAGGTTTAAAGAGCAAAATTTTTAAGTAAATACGCGCCGTGGAACTTTTCACCGCGTATTCGTTACGTTACGTTTTATATAATACCAGCGACGCGCAGGGGTGCTTTTACGACGAATAAAAGCCTTTAGGGGGAAGATGAAATTGCGACGCGTGGAGTGAAAAGTTACACGATGGCTCCCGTGCGTGCGAAACGCGTGCCGCGCAATTTTTTATACGCGAGACGTTTTACACCTGTACTCCTCTCACCGTAAATGCTCCTGTATTATGCCATCAGCGGCGGCGCGCCGGCGCGTATGGAAAAGAGATGATAACACGATGGAAAGTAAAATTCATTCAGCAAATTGTGAAAACGCGTAAAGTTTGATACAAAAATTTATGCATGCGCTATTTACAATATACAATTGTTTTCCGTACAAATATCGATGGATTACTTTGATGAAATCGCGGGGAAACAAGTGTAGTCTGCAAATTTGGAGCGACAAACATTTCTCTCCACGAATGGTGATAGAAAAAGTGTTATTTCACACTGAGATGTTTTACTGTTTAATGGGAAAAGTATTGCCGATCTCAATCCGAAGTAAATAAGCACTGACCTTGGTCCTGCACGCGTGGAAATCGCCGGCGATGCTCCTGAGATTGGTCCCCACGCTCGTCCACGACTGCCTCTCGTTGATGATCTGGCCGAGGTGGCAGCAGCAGCTGCTGCCGTTGCAATTGCTCACCTCAACCGGGCCTGTCTCCACGACGGAGCTCTCCGAGGCGAAGCGTCTTCGCGGCCGCGGCCTCGGGCTCGGCTGCGGCGCGCCGCCGCCGTTGCACTCCGGGAACTGGAAGGTCGCGTCTCTCATCGGGCTGCTGGGGACGGAGACTGTCACCTGGGGCGACGGCGGTGGCAGCTGGTCCATGGCCGACTGCACCAGATCCGGCAGCGGCAGGTTCGACAGATCCTCGGCGCTGCCGGACTGCAGCAAGATCACCAGCGGCTGCTGAGCGGATCGACGCGGCGCCCGATCTGCGAAACAGAAAGAGAACATTCCTTCGAGACTCGTTCGGCGACAACTTGATCACGCCCGCGCGTGACAGTCGCGAGAGGGTTTCGCCGAGAATGCAAAGAAGCGACCATCGCGTGTGTTGCAATTAGAACTTTTCTCGCCGCGAGCGCGTTTAACGAGCAGCCGCGTCGCGTGATGCTTGAATTAATAATGATCGTGGTTTCGCAGGTCGCCGGAGGAAATGCGGGCGTAATAACACTCGCACTCGTATCGCCACGCTTCGTAACGACAATTGATTACACGCAAATTACGTCACACAATGGGAACTCTCCGGTGACCGGAGCATGCCGAGGTGGTTACCTCGCTTGTAAGGTTTAATACCGCTAAGTGCACGTTGCAAGGTGACGCAGTCCACGTATGGCGAGAAATGACATTGTTGGATAATGATCGCTTTAAAATTTACAACGGATAATCTAACGGCCTTCGCGATAAAATATCACGGAGGGATATTTTATATTAAAAAGATATCACACCCCGATTTTAGATAAATATTTTTCAAGCAAGATAAAAGTATAAAAATTTATTTGACGCGTAAACGTCCGCGATTTTGGAGTAAATATACACGTCAGTGTTTATATCTTCTTGGCATTGGAATTACGTGTTTGACACGGAGTTGTGAGTGTATGTTTCTTCATCGATCACGCTGCAAACAACCGTCGACAATCGCACCGAGAGAAAGAGAGGAAGAGAGAGAGAGAAAGAGAAGTGTCAGCCGGAATCAACTGTTGGAAACTCGACAAACATACGTCGGTATCTATGCTTGGAGAACGTGCGTTATCATATGTCGTGGCAGACTGCCTGTCTCGTGTCTGGATATGCACGCCGTTTTTATCTCTCCGCGGCTACGATTTCGTAGAACAACACCTCATCGATAAAGCCTCGACGCGCTGTCTCTCCGCCGCAGCGGAGTGACACGATTTCTGCCGCGCGCTGACGTCGTCGCTCATTTGCTCAGTCGTTTTATTAAAAACGGCTGCGCTATTCTCTTCGGCGGATAAAAAAAAAATCCTAATATTGTTTGACGGTAATCGCGGTAATAGTTATAAATAAACGTTTCTTCATTCCATAATCGATATCAGATAACGTGCGCAGATATCGTTGACGTCATTCACTTCCCTCGCGAGCAATCGAGAAGACACTTGTCGCGCGTTACGAAACGAGAATCGCGATATCATGCTTTCGCGACTGCAACCTTGAATGCGCCTCGCATGCATCGCACGGCGCATCCGTAGGTGAAAGCAGCGTCGTCCCCGTGAAAAAATATGCCTACCGTGCCGTAGGGTTCCAGAAACATTTAGACACGGCCACTTTTCATCTCGCATGGATGGATGCAACCGTGGAGCCATGCGTGACAAAATAACAATCCCACCTTGTGCCTCGCAGCACGCTATTGTCTCGTCGCCGGGCTCTCCGCGTCTTTCCTTCGCCCTCGTCTTCTCTCCGCGGAGGACAGCCGCGCCGCGCCGAGCGCACGTGGTTGCATCCTTGACATTTTCGAGTAAACGTCCGAAGTGACTCGGGGCTCTTTCACTTGTGCAACAAGCGCGCACATATCGTCGTCGCCTGCGTTCGATTAAAGCCGCTCGTCGTCGCGAAATCTTCGATAGCGCGCGCTCGAGAGTGCCGCGGTAAGTCCGGCGGGAGAGATGCGGCCACTTTGTGCGCTTTTCACCGCTTGCAAAATACGTCTACGTGCGCATCGACGCCCCATTGCTTTCTAGACTTGCTTTTCCAGCCAAATGCCACTAGACGGAGAACCCGCGTGAGAACCGTGCGCGCTCGAACCTCTGCGAAGATTTATTATAATCGATGTTTATTATTTCCAAGTTGCGCGACGCTGATGAGTTTACGTCTTTATATATCAATTTGATGCAACCTCATCTAAAAATGAGCAATAATCACCTGTTCAGCTGCGAGACTCAAGTACAAGAACTTTCGAGACTGATCGATACAGGATTAATTTTTGCCGAACACTAAAAATTATAAATCCATTTCAAAATCCAAATTCAAAATGATTTGAGGAATTATAATTATACATCGTTGAATATTTATTTCAACGACTGTCAAGTCTTAGAGTTTCATAGAATATTAAAAGCCTCGAGAGCGAATCGATTCGCTACACATTTCTGCCCGGTGGCATTATTATCAAAGGAGAGCTCGGCGAAGCATTTCCACTTTACGAAAAACACACGATGATCTCCGCGGCCGCAGTTTTCGTATCACCTTTGTTCAGCGACGTGTACAGAAAAGCTCGTCGTAGCAAATCGCTGAAAAGAACATAAAGTTCCGACGCGGGCGCGACGTATAAAAGGCGAAGGTTGCCTCGCGAGCAAAAAATGCAGCGCGCACGTGGCCAACACCCGCATGCACTCTTCGTGGTCTCGTGTGTGCACTTCGGCGTATATATCTGGATCGAGCTATGCGCGCACACTTCAGCGGGAGGAGAGAAGGATAGAGACGTTGACCGACAAAGAGAAGAACAGAAGAGAGCAGAGAGAGACGCGGGTATACATACCCGCGCGTGTATATACGAATGAGAGGGAGAGTGAGAGAGGAAGATAAATAGAAAAGAGGAAAGATCAACAGAGAGGACAGAGCGAAAGGAGCGGGGACGGAATAACCGCCGGTAGCATACGTGAGTCACATGGAGCGCCCTTTGTACATAAGTGCAACGCAACTTGTTACAGTGTACGTGTGTAACGGCGTGAGCTAGTTTCGCCTGTGTAGGAGTGCGCGTGCGAGCGCGCGCCGCAGTGAACTGCACAAAGAACCCCTCTCAAGGCCGCCGGAGCTGCACAACGCACGCGAATGCGTAAAATGCACCGCCCGTACTCTTCTCCGCGCTCCCGCGCTCGTTCTCGCGAACGTGTATGCGTGCGACAGCCGAGCGTACTTTTTTTCTTTTATCGCCGCTACGCTTTCGCACACTTTTCCGGAACAATGAGACGAAGCGAGCGACAGATATGCGGCTGTAACTACGTCGTTTCAAAACCTCGCGGATCGGCCGTGATCTGCCATTTCGGGAACGGCGTCAATTGCGCGTATTTCAACGCTCAGTTGATCGATTTCTCGAGAACGACATTTTTACCATTCGCAGAACCGCGTTCAGCTTCCTCGTATTTCGCATTGAACGCGCCGAGAATCAATTCCGCGTAATCGAATTTAATTTTATCGCGCGACTGCAAAATTACATAACGAAAGAAAGTAGTGAAGAAAATTTTAATAAAAAATTATTTCTGTGTATTCGACACAGTGAAAAATTAAAGCGTGGGATTTTTATGCAAAATACTTGTTGTCGATAAATATTAGCACTCGTTAAATATCGTAAATCGATAAAATTAAATACGCAGTCTCTTAAGGCCGAGAACTTGCGAACATGTGCGGCGAGCATGCCGAACAAAGACACTTTCCACAAAAGCTTCGGATTCCGGTTCATGTATATTCAATTCGCGATGTCGAATATATTACGTGTGTTCGGTTTCAAGGGGCTCTTCAAAGCGCGCGCAACTCTTGAAAGGTTACACGTAACGATGCATCGAGAATCGATCGGAGTGTGTGGCGAACAAAAAGGTCGGCCCGACGCGTACGTACGTCGTTGCATTTACAACTGATTAATAGGGAGCGTCATTATCCATCGGCGATTTTAGCCGTATTGCCAGGCGTGTTATCCCACCGGTATCGCGCAATCGGGGAAAAAAAATACGCGCCGCAATAATGTTGCGTCAACAGCGCGTGATTACGACGCGCGAGCGATATTAGACATGCATTTTCTATAACTATCGTCTTGCCCAATGCGATTGCACTCGAGATTAAATTATTCTGTCGTTTGCGATCGACGGCTGTGCAATATTCGGTAATAAAATCGATATCGCGATAGCGTCGGAGATCGGTTGAGACAAGTTGTGCACTATTCTTGTTCGAGAGATTTTTCAAAGGCACACATATAATCAGGCAGAAAATTCCGCGGCGCGTTTCTCGCCATCGCTTTTAGATGAAATTATTCCGTTAATTAGCGTTAATGACTGTGCAATATTTCTACATTCTTCTCGAGGGAACGTAAACTCGGGAAAATATGAGCTTACTCGCTTTCGAAGCCGTTTAAGCGAAACGCGCTATTAGTTCCGCGATGCGAGGATCGCCGTGTAATTAATTGTCAATGTCGTCCCGACTTCTCTCTCGGCGAGAATCGCGCCGTCGAGCGCGACGTAAAGATAGCACGGAACCAATTCGCCGAGTGATGCCATTTTTATCCGCGTCTCATTCCCGTCTCCGTTCACGTTTCACAGTAACTGTCGACGCGCTTCGGGCCGGTGCTTCCAGCGCAGCGGGCAATTTCGGCGTCGAGCCGGTGCAACGATCACAATTATCGTTCGCCCCCCCCCCCCGGCCACCGTCATTATTCCGCGAGTCCTCGGTAATAATCATTGGACGAGTTTCGAGTAGCGGACGAATCGTCGGATCGATTCCTCGAAGGGCGATTCGTCGAAGAGGCAACGATCTGCGCGCAGCACGGCTCCTCGCCGAGTGCGCGCGCTCCGGAACACGTGCGGCGCAGGATGCGTTTCGTGAGTCGCGAAAATTAAATAAAGTATACTCTCCTTCCGCCCCGCCTCCTTTACACTCCCTTACGATTGTCTCATTCTTTTATCGCCTCACGAGGTCTTCGTCATAACTTCCTTCCGTCCCCCTCCCCCCCCCCCCTCCCCACCCAGCCCGTTGTCGGTCCTCCTTCCCTCCCCGTGCCATTCTCCTCGTCGACCCTGATAAATTCGCGGAGCGTGATTCGAGCCCATCGCTCACGTGTGGAGGTAAAGACAAAGCAATAAAAGAACGCAATATACGTTCGCTTCGTGCCTATTATGAACATTGATTTTACTCTTTTTTTTTTCCCCGTCTGCGATACCGATTTCGCGCTTTACACATCCGTGACGACAAACCGGGACACCTGTTCTATTAAACT